AATTCAAACTGGTTTTGTCGATCTCAACTTCAGCTACGTTTAGCCTTTTAACTGTTTTTTAGGAGCCTTTGAGCTAAATTCTAGGCCCTGTGCGGCTCCACCTTGCAGTTCCTTATTGGTCGTGTCTACATCTTTAATAGCGTTGTTGGATGTAATTTGTTTGCAAGTTGGGCAGGCCCAGCCTTTAAGGTTATCGTCACTTTCATCGCGCACGCAAGCAAAATGGTACCAAGTCTTGCAAGTTTCACATTGCACCCAAATAATGTCGTTACCGGGTCGATCTTTTTTGCAAACGCCACATATGGCATTATCGTAGTCGCGATTGAACATTTTCGTATTCTTGTAATTGATTTCAAAATTGATCTTTTCTTTGACCTGTTGGGCGAAATGCATTCACTTTCGAGAGCTATGCCCCTACTAACATAGTGGTCAGTTTGTTTCAGTTAGTTTTTTCACGAAAACGATACACATATAGGCGGTGTCATGTGTTCAAAATTCTTTTTTGCGGAACTGTCTTGCTCTTATCTACGCAGTTAAAATTCGCATCGGTACATGGGAAATTTGTATGTAGGTATACGAGTACAACTGTGTCTTTTCCCTTTGCTAGTGCGGAACTGTACCTTTCTTATATATGTATGTATATATATATATATATATATATATATATATATATATATATATATATATATATATATATATATATATATATATATACGCAACCAACTAAGAGCCACTATATCAGTAGCAAGTTAATGATTTTATTTGTTCGATACGCATATAGTAGTTTATTTTTTCTTCTTTTCACTATAGAGTAATTTCTCTTGCACACGCGGAACTTAGTCGTTCAATACACGTATAGTAAGATTTTTTAAAGAATGTTACAGCCGGCCATTAAAACGAAGCTTCTAACAGCATTTTAGTTGAAACGACTTTTCCACCCATATGATCTGCCCTGCATCAATAATATTTTTGTTCCTCGATTTGAAGTTAGCGATGTGCTTAAAGCCCTTCTGTCGCTGGAAACGTCCTATTCCGCGGGCCCTGATAACATCCCTAGAAACTGTGCCGAAGCTCTGTCTTGGTCAATCACTTTTCTATTTAACTTATCTTTATTATCTTCAGAGTTCCCGAGAATTTGGAATGAATCTTTTATTATTCCAATTCATAAAAAAAGCTCAAGGTCCGATGTCGAAAATTATCGTGGTATAGCCAAACTTTCTGCCATACCTAAGCTTTTTGAGCAGCTGGTCACTTGTCAACTTTAACATATGTGTGCCATTATAATCTCTCCCGCACAGCATAGCTTTGTAAAACAACGGTCGACTACTACTAATCTTCTCGAATTTTCTACTCTCATCCACCGTAGTTTCCCAAATAAACGCCAAACTGACTTTATTTTTACTGACTTCAGCAAGGCATTTGATAGCCATAGCCTTCTCCTTCATTATTTCTCCTTCCACCTAATTTACTTAACTGGATTTCTGCCTATCTTTCAAACAGAACTGAACGCGTCCTCTTCAAAAATCAACTTCCCTCCGTCGTAAATGTTTTTTCTGGTGTCCCCCAAGGAAGTCATCTGGGGCCACTACTTTTCGTTATTTTTATAAATGATCTTCCAAAAGTAGTGTCATTTGCCTCTACTCTAATGTATGCGGACAAATGTCATACCTTCGTTGAACATTGGTCAATTACAATTATGGTGATGCAACAATTTGTTGCTGCTTAATCATACTAAATGCAAATGTATGTCCTTTTACCGGACTTCAGCCCACATACACTTCTACCATCTTGAAAACTATACTTTAGAACGTATTACGCAAGTAACTGATCTAGGTGTCCTATTTGATAGCAAGTTATGTTTCAAAAGCCATATTTCTGTCATCATTAGTAAAGCTAAGGGTGTTTTAGCCATCATAAAACTTTGAGCCAAGGAGTTTGACGACCCGTATACAACAAAGACTCTTTACATTTCAATGGTTCGCCCCATTTTGGAATACTGCGTATGTGTTTGGAGCCCTCAATATATTGATTAACAAAAATTAATCGAGTCAGTCCAAAAGCAATTTTTATTATTTGCTCTCCGACAGCTGAATTGGGACCCGGTGAGCCGTTGCCGTTTTTTTGCATAAGCTTCTCATAGGTGAGGTGAATTCTGGCCTCCTCCTAAGCTTTATTAACATCGCTGTGCCCTCAAGATTTACTCGTACTTTTCGCCCTATTCTCTTGCCAATTTGTAGATCTAACTTTGCCCTTCATGAGCCCTTTCGGGTGCTTTGTTCAAATTATATATCCTGCAATATCTTTGGAAAATTCTATTGATCGGATATCATCAAACATTTATGCTTTTCTTGAATCATATAATATTAAGTTAGTTTAAGTTATATTTATTTTTAGCATATATGTGTAAGTTAGCAGTTCATTGTTAACTATAAATCAATAAATAAAAAAAAAAATAAAAATAAAAAAGTGCCGTAAGGCACACAATTATACGTGTGTTTTAGTTTGTTGCCGTTTCTCGGTTTTTATTGTGTTTGTTGTTATTTTTGTGTTATGTTTTGTGTTTATATTCTTATCTTTCAAATAATAGCTTATTATTTTCTTAGGAGCCACTTATAAGTGCCAATTTTCACGATTGCTCACATTGCTTTTGAGATTTGGTGTGGAGAAATCATTTCTGTCATTATTATTTTAAGGCTAAATACTTTTTCCGGCAAAAGCTCGTTTTACACTGATTGTTCCTATGGCAGCTATAATATATAGTATTTTATAATATTAAAACCGAAACTCGGGAATATTAAACAAATACTAAATCTTAAAGAAGTAAAAAAAAAGTCAAAAACAAAAAAGTTATAATTTTTTTGTCATTTTACTCCCGATTGTTCCTATGAAAGCTATAGGATATAGTGGTACGATCTGGCCAATTCTTGTCCTATATATGTATTTATAACATTTTTCTAGATTTTTGTACAAGTTTTAAAGGGATATCCCCTCTCCCTCACAAACCGAACCACTGTGCATCGACGATAAATGCATAGCGACGAAGTCGCTCAAAAAATCAGTAAGGAATGTTTAAAAGCATCCTGAAAATTTAACGTCTTTTCGCCTAATATACACATATTTTTGGCTGGGGATTACAACAATTGGAATAGCCGCCTACTCTAGCAAGAAAGTGCAGCGTGAACAACAAGCAGGATGTAGCTCTGTCGCAACGTTGGTTGCTGACACCAAATCCCTACATACATATTTACTTTATACATACACATATACTTAAACTTAGAATTACGAACATTTGTATTTAGTTGAATAAGAAATTTTCGTACAGCGAGGGTGTACATAAACCCGAGCTGAGTAATAAATTCACTCTTGAATTTAAACTCGAACTGAATAGAAGCATTTATTTATTTTTATTAAGCAAACCGAAATTCTGAGCATTAACGCTACTTAACTGTGGAAATGCCTTCTAAGGATCAGAAGAACCAACAAAAAACAAGGAGTGTGCAGCTTATTTTAGTGTAAGTTAAATGAAGTGACAATAACAAAAAAAAACAAGAAAGAAAGCAAACTTCGGCAAGCCGAAGTTCATATACCCTTGCAGCAATTGCAAAAAAATTTATAACTTAAAATTATGACTTACTTGCGTGTATGTTAAAAAACCTTGAAGCTATGATGATTTGCAGCTCTATTATTAGATAGTTATTTTATATATTCTTATTATTTCTATGGGAGCTATGTGATATAGTCGTCCGATTTTGATGAAATTTAAACCGTAGTTCTGAAATATTTAACCATTACTATATGTCGAAGAACTAAGAAAAAATTAAAAAACAGCTAAGTTACATATTTTTTTAAATATTTTTTCGATTGTTCCTATTGGAGCTATATGATATAGTCGTCCGATTTTGATGAAATTTAAACCGTAATTCTGAAATAATTAACCAATACTATATGTCGAAGAACTAAGAAAAAAATTAAAAAACAGCTAAGTTATAATTTTTTTTTCATTTTTTTCCGATTGTTCCTATGGGAGCTATATGATATAGTCGTCCGATTTTGGTGACATTTAAGCCGTAAGTCTGAAATAATTAACTATATGTCGAAGAACTAAAAAAAAATGAAAAACAGCAAAGTTATAATTTTTTTAAATTTATTTTTCCGATTGTTCCTATGGGAGTTATATGCTATAGTCGTCCGATCCGACTCGTTCCGACTTATATACTACCTAGAAATACAACTTTTGGGAAAGTTTCATGCAGATAGTTTTAAAACTAAGAGACTAGTTTGCGTAGAAACGGACGGACAGACGGACGGACAGACGGACGGACAGACGGACATGGCTAGATCGACTCTGCTAGTGATACTGATCAAGAATACACTTTATAGGGTCAGAAACCAAAAATTTCGTACTTAAATTTTTTTAGAAAAAAAAAGGTAAAATATGTCTTCGATTAATTACTAAAATATATATTTAAGAAGCTCGTGCTAAAATTCGTTGATCACCGACTTTGAACTTGTAATATCCAGCGTTTGGAAACGATTTTTAAAATTTGCGTGTAACTTCGAAAAAATTTTCCGGAACGATCTGAAATTGTCTGTGTGAATCCCTTATTTACACTAAATAAATAAAATAAATAAATTTTTTTCATTCAACTTTATATAACACCTTAATCTTGTATGATGTCGATCACCAATTATAAGGCCTATTCCAGAAGTGTAACTATGAGGACTTAGATAAAATCGGTGTCTTTTTTTTGTTTTCATAATATCCAACCAGTTTTGGATGTGTCACGCCAAATATCTGTCATTAAGTAAAACTAATTATTTTTATGTTGTTCAAACAAATAACAAGAATGAAATACCTTGTTTTTGTTCTAAAATATTTAAATAAAAATATCAATAAATATAAAATAAAACAAAGCTGACAAGAGAAAATCTTTTGAAAAAAACTGTGACTCCACTCCTACAGCACTTTAGTTAAAATGAATTGATAAGAAGTCTCTCACATAAAGATCCGGTACAGTAACTTTGGCATAGGAACTTCCCTCGAAGACTAGCGACACAACCGGGGTAATGGGTTTGAGTTGATTCATTAGAAAGCTGTGGAGTCTTGACTCGTCCAGCGAGTAGTCCAGATTGGTGATCTGTAAAGTTACTGTGTCGCTGGGCTCCATCACCTTGGCAACCGCTTCACAATTTGGCCCTCCATCGCCAATTACCATTTCAGTGACTGACGCATTTGTTATGGCCCCGGCGAAATACTTTTCCGCTTTAGGTGCAACCGTGGAGTTGCCGTTGGTAAGGGAAATATCTGCCACTAAACGGTTATTGCTGACGATACTAAGAGATCTTTTCGCGGGGCCGCTGGCTGCTATTGGAGCGGTGGACAAAGTCTGTGTTAGGGCACTCTTGCTATTGCTCTGATAAATCGGAACGTTCGTTTGATATGTTTGAGAGGGTAACGCTGCAACCGGCTGTTGCTTGGGCCTTGGATGGCTTCGGAGCTGAGATTGGCCGGAAATAGCTGCAGCCACGAAAGCTCGATTGGGGTTATACGGCATGTATCGGTTACGATTGTAGCAGGAGGTAGTATCGTTGGCATGTGCATACTGGCACACATTCAGATGGCCGGGCATTGGAAGGAGTATAGATTGCACTTGTCCCCCGACTAGATACTTTCCTGTAAGCAGTTCGGAAGGTGGAGTGTATCCAGGTATCCAATTTTTTTTTAAGTGCAATTGGCTTGCTCCTAATGTCCCAGGAGTGTCGTTGACAGTGTTTAAAGCGGCAGGCGGCAATGCTTTAGATTGTGGTTGATAAAGCTGGGATTGGAAGTCTCCAAACTCGTAAAACCCACTTTCACCTCTCCCAGATCTGTCGTAAGGCCAGCTAACAAGATGAAGCACAAAATAAAACGAAGAGAAAAAACAATGAAATTAATAGGGTAAATTGTTAATTAAATTTTTTAAAATAAAACTTAGCAAGAAAGAGTTTAGATAATATTACGTTAAATAGATTTTCTCACGAACGTCATTTGTGGAGTCGGTGAATTTACTAACGCCAAATCTACGCAACTGTCATTTCAAATATTTTTTTAAACATTTTCTATACATATATCAACAGGTTCTCACAAATCGTATTTTTTTTTATATTGCGCAGACATATTAACCATTTCAAGTAATGTTTTATTTTCAATCCAAAAAAAATAAAACTCAAGGAAAAAGTTTTATTTTGTGATCAAAGAATAAAACTTACATGTCAAGCGTTATTTGTCAAGATGAAAAAAAAATTCAACAAATAATATGATATTTCTCTGGTATGCCCTATGATGTTTACCGAAAGCCACCTTTTTTTTAAGGGGCTCCGAGGACTGGCTGTTTTGAAGATACCTAATATATAAAAAAAAGCTTCACACTAAAAAATGCGTCCGCTCCTTAGCATAAGTTAGGTTCTAAGAGCAATATTGAAATATTAAAGTTAGTGATCAGTCGAACTTCATCGTAACCACTCCCTTTCGTCGTCGCATTTTCGCACAAGTATTCCACAAGTTATAAATAAATTATCTCGAATCCTACTGCAGTCACATGTTTCGCGTTTGTAAATACAAAATAGTAATCAATTTTCAGGGTGACCCCGACGTGATCGCAGTAGAGTTCGCGATTTGATTACATGTTTTTAGGTGAAAAACTATAACAATTACCAACAAACACACAAAAGCAATTTTTTTTGTGTCGGTTCGGCTATAAAATTAAATTCAGAAATAAATTTCGTCGCTGGAAATTTTCTGCCGTTCCTTGTGTTGCCCAAATTTTATTGTTTAGTTTGCTGCTGCCGCTGGAACATGGATGTAAAAAAGGAAGTTGCAGCTATCAAGTCGGCCAACCTGGTATAGAGTGCTAAAAGGTGACAGTTAATCTGTGGCGTTTTGTTAATTGTGTTTTGGCGCACATTTAAACTTTTTGCATTCGTGTAAAAATCGGTAGATCTAACCAAGAAATTTGCATGTACTAACAACATAAATTCTACAATAAACATAATATATTTCGAATTGTATGTGAATTGCTTTGGCCATAAACAAGCAAATAAAATACTCGTCGTCGACCCAATTAGTGCAAACTTAATTCCCCCAATTTTGGTCGTAGTGAGCACCAATTTAGGGTAAAAGTGCAAATTGTGAAAAGTGTAGTTCTCAAAAATTAGCGGCAAAAAACTTTCGCCGCAGTTTGTCTGAACATTTTCCCGCGCTTTTCAGAATTTTCCCGCGCTTTTCTTAATTTTTGCGCGCTTTTCGGAATCAGGTTTATATATTCGATGCCCATAGTTATCGATCAGTGTATCATTCTCCGCTAGAGCGTTAGCTCCCCTACAGTGCGTTCGTGTCGCATATTACTGTCGCGGAGTTTATATAAAAAATATAATAACCCTATTTAGATATTTTTCGCTGTACTTCTCTCGGCACTAACCTCCCCTACACTGTTTGCGATCGGTATTTTACTCGTTGATTTTATTATTACATTATTAAACAAATAAATAATATTAATAAAAACAAATATTTAACACCTCTTCGATACCAACAAAATAAATCCAAAAAAACACAATTGCAACTAAGGATATCGAAGAGCTTAAACACCAACGAGATGTTTGCATGAAAAGTATTAACCGAACCGTATATCCATTTAAAAGAAGCTAAATTATCTGTGAGTCCGGTTGAGCTTGAGTGTCGATTAGAGATTCTAAATACGCACACTGAAAATGCTTCACTTTTGCAAAACCAAATAAAAGTGAAAGATACAAAAGATGTATACCGCGAAGAGTTGGAAGAGAAGGCCGTATTGACAAAGTCATTGCTGATTTCGATTTTAAATAAGTGCAAACAAAATAATATCGAGATATCCGTTCCGCCAGCAAATCGCCCGCCTCAATGCCATCTACCGAGCGTTGCTCTCCAAACTTTTAGTGGAAAACACTCCGAATTTAAAAATTATATAAGCCTTTTCGAAACTTTCGTTGACAAAGATGACACTTTACACGATATGGAAAAATTCAACCATTTAATTTTGTGTTTAGCTGGAGATGCTTTAGAAACAGTTAGGGCCTGAAGCGGATGTACGATAATGATTGTCTTATTATTTTTGAACACATATCGACACTTTTTAATTTGCAAAAAATCCATACAGCTACAGCCTTGAGAACCCTCATCGACTCCTTGCTGTCTATTGGGGATGATAGACGCATTACTAATGCTATTTTAATACATCTGGTAATGAGCAAGGTCGATGCAGGAACTAAAGGAAAATGGGAAGAACAGTTAGATTATACTTCGCTTCCACTTTGGTGGGAATGTGAGGCGGCCCTCAACAGGCGATACCAACACATGGCCAAGCCCAAAACTGTTCAGCAGACCCAATCTAACCCTAAGAAGAGTGGAAAAAGGAGTTTTTCGTTTGTCGCTGCCAGGAACGACTTTGTTCAATGCGTGTATTGCAACTTAGCTGAACATCAGATTGGAAACTGCGCTTCCTTGGCAGCCCTAACAGTTCAGTAAAGATTCGATTTCGCTAAAAGAGCACCCTCATGCATTAACTGCTTAAGAAAGGGTCAAAAAATGCAAATCGAACAGATGTACAGTGTGCAATTCCTCCCATCACACTTTGCTACACATATATTCCCCAAACACAAATCTCGCGTTGCCACCCCCTTCTCAGCCCACGCTCATGCAGGAGTCTCCATCCACGTCGCATGTTTTGCATGCGAATGCATGTCATATTTGCAACTGCTGTTGTGAGCGTCCAAACCAAAAGCGGCGAGTTTGTATTAGCTCGAGCGTTGCTCGACTCTGGTTCACAAATAAATTTGTTGACCGACGAGCTCGCTCAGAGGCTCAAAATTACAAGGCATGAGCTTGCGAGGCATTGGTGGAACTAATGCCCAAGCCGCAAAAAAAATACACACGATTGTGAAGTCGCGGGTAGGGAACAGCCAATTGTCGTCCGATTTTTGGATTATGAAAAATATTTCTGGTTATCATCCGGATCAAGCGGTGAACACCAGCGGGTGGAGGATGCCTGAAAATATTCAGTTGACAGATCCATTCTTCTTCAAGCCCCAAAAAAAAGATGTGCTTATCGGGGCTGAAACATTTTTTGAACTTTTATCTATTGCCCAGATAAAGCAGGGGCCTGAATTCCCCATCTTACAAAAGACAGTTCTCGGCTGGATAGTGTCAGGGAGATGTGCCTCTGAAAATAATAAAAACGCTGAAAAATTGGTACATCTCAGCTGCCAGGAGGAAGCGTTGGAGTCAATTGACACAACCCTGCAGAAATTTTGGTCTGTGGAGGACTTGCCGCCCGAGGCTAAAGTCCATACTTTTGAGCAACAACTCTGTCAACAACACTTTGAGAAAAATACTCAAAGATTGTCGTCCGGTAGATTTTCGGTTCGTTTGCCGTTTAAATCTGACCCAAATACTCTTGGTTCGTCATACGAAGTTGAGAAACGTAGATTTTTTTTCAAGAGGAGCTGTACTCGACTCTGCTTCGGTTTAGATTGCATAAGTTTGCCCTTGCGGCCGACGTCAAAAAGATGTATCGCCAAGTGATGGTGGACGAAGCTGATCGAAACTTCCAGCTCATAGTATGGAGACGAGATCCTTCTGAGTCCCTGAAAATCTTTAGCACCCTTTTTGGAGAGATGGATCAAGCAGCTCATCCAAAAGCCGCAAAGGTTATTCAGAATGATTTTTATGTTGAGGATTTGTTGACTGGCGCCGGATGCGTTGAGGACCTGCAAAGCCCTCGAGACGAAGTTTCTCAGGTCTTGCCCGAGGCAGGCTTTGAATTGGCAAAGTGGTTTTCAAACTGCCCAGAGTTATCCGCATCTGATAGCGCTGTAATGCCACTTATGGCAGACTCAGACCTAACCAAGACGATTGGAGTGGTTTGGTTACCGGTTAAAGATTACTTTCAATTTCGGTTGGATGACTCTTTCCTGGCAATTAGTGTCTGACCGGTTTTTGTTTCGAACCGGGTTGCAGAAATTCAGGAGTGCTCGGAGAAAGAAATTTGGAGACACGTTCCCACGAAAGTCAACCCAGCAGACGTAGAGGAGCTTACAACGTCCATTTGGTTCGGTGGGCCTTCGTTCTTGCTAGAATAATTGGCCTGTAAATAAACATTTCGAACTACCGGCTGATGTAATGTCGATGGAGCTACGCAAATCGGTAATAGCTCTCGTAATCAGCCCAGAGCCAAATTATGTGCTACAGAAAATAGAGTCCTTTTCGTCGCACCTGAAGCTTCTGAGAGTGTTCGTGTGGGTTTTTCGTTTTATTTAAAGGTGCAGAAAGTTGTTGAAGCCCTTTGAAAAAAGTATTTTGCCAAGAGAACTGGATTTCGCTTTTGAGAAAATTGTCGAAGTTATGGAATTTCACGAATTCAGGGACGACATAAGTGAAATTCGGAAAAATAAACCGGTAGCAATGAATATTCAAAAGTTAAACCCTTTTCTTCAGGAAAATAAATTAGATTTGTGTTCCTCGACGAGTTGGGGGTCGGTTATTGAATGCTCCTATTCCCTACGAAACCAAACTCCCGTTGTTGCTGTCTAAAAGCTCACAGTTCGTCAGATCCTATGTGTCATACCTGCACGTTACGAACTGTCACGCTGGCCCACGAGCTCTCGTAAGTCGTCTGCGCGAGAAAATCTGGCTAGTTAATGCTCAAGAAGTCTGCCGACGTACAGTTCGGTCGTGCATGCGCTGCTTTCGCTGTAAGCCGCAACTCTTGACGCACGTTATGGGATACTTGCCCGCAGATAGACTTCGAGCTCTCCACCCGTTCAATATTTGTGGCGTTGATTTTTGTGGTCCAGCAC